ATAATTGGATTCCGGGTGGTCCGTCTGACGATCCGCGACGACCGGGATCGGGGTGGATCTCGGGTACCCCGAGCGGAAGACCGTCTGGGTACTCGGGTGGGTACCAGGGCAGGTACCCGGACGCTTCGCATCCGGGTTCTCGGGGACCGGGAAGCGGTTGGGTCTCGGGTTCACCAGGTCGATATCCGGACGACAATCGACTGTCGCCCTACCCAGACCCATCGTATCCGAGCAACAGGTTCCCCGATCGATCTCAAAACAATCGCCTCCCGGATAGGTACCCCGATTGGGTGTCGTTCACCCATCAGAACGGGGCCGGAAGGAGGGTGGGGTACTTGCACGAAGACAGGAACGGACCGGAGGAGATCTTGCTCATGGCCGAGATGAAGACGGAGAAGCCGAATCGTGACTCTAAATCTCGAAACAGGCGAGAATCGATCCCCGAGGAGTCCAACTCGACTTCCGGGTACTCTGAAGAATCGACAAACGCGGAGGTTCGAGGTCCAGAGCCTTTCACCGAGGAGGAACCGGCGGGAGAAGTCGCCGTTCGTGGCGATTCGGGACCGGACGGCAAGGGATCCGGAGATGGAAATGCGACCGAAGGTGAGACGGTGTTCACCGAAATCTCGTTCGTCTTCGCCGATCCGAATGGCTGTGATTGAGATGCATGAGTTTGGGATGATTTGACTTTGAAATACCCGAGTCTGAGATTGCCGCGTGTTTGAGAAGGGTGACTCGGCAGACGTCAACAAATGAAGTCCTCGAATTATTAAATTCCCCTTCCTCCGTCCGTCTAGTTCCCGAGCCTGCGACAGCGGACACTAGGACTCCCGCCGCAATGACTCCTGCCGCAATGACTCCTGCCGCGATGACTCCTGCCGCAATGACTCCTGCCGCGATGACTCCTGCCACGATGACTCCCGTCACGAGGACTCCCGTCGCGAGGACTCTCACCACGGCCATTCCCAGCACCGAACCCACCAGGACGTCGACCGGTTCCCTCCTATCCCAGGAAGCCGTGAAAAGCGAATGGACGCAAAACGCTTCTTCGTCCTCTCGTCCTTCCATCGACGTCCAGGATCTGGAAGAGATCACGCCCGGCAACGTCTCCCTGATTCGCCAGGTAAAAACCCACCCATGCTTCCCCGATATGTTTCATAATCGACTTCCTTTATATATACAAGCGGGAAAAATTATCTATTTTTTCCTGAAACTTTAGAAAAGAGAGTTTCGAACAACTTCCATGAGTAAGCTCTAATGATTACGTAATCATGCAATCGTAAAACGCGGGAGAGGCCACGCTCTCCGTGCCAGCAAGACATTTTCGACTCGAAAATCCAGCTGCTGCTCCGGTTCGGTCACGGAGAAAAGCCCGGTTCGGATCCCCTCCTGCTCTCGCGATCGTCTGTCGGAGTCGGATGAGAAATTCCCCAAGATCCGTCCTTTGAAGTACTCGGGTC